TTTCCCTTACTTAAGAACGGCTCTTTGACATCCATCCTAGACGACCTCTGTCCGGGTTCCTCAAATTTTTCATGACCCACTGCACAACACGCTAAGACACCAAGTTTTCAGCTAATGTCTCTTTGGAATTAACTTGTTGGTGCAAAAAACAAAAATTTTTATATCTTTAGCTAATCATGCTGCTACTTGCAAAGTCCTTAAAGATATAATTAAAAACTTGCTCTTTGCTAACACATGACACATGCTTGAATGTTTCATGGTTCAGTGTTAAATAACTTAAACAAAAAAAACATTCCTCTGAAAACAGTAAGGCACATGGACTCCGTCACTAATGAATCAAAAAGCAACACAAAATTACATGGCTGATTGTGCCACATGTCAGTGGCATGTTTATTTACACATTATCGCTCATTAGCAGGTATCTGCGTCTATGGATGCTCCTTGGTAGCATCAGTAAATACCAACACCCTCTTGTCTATCCCCCAAAAACCAAGATGAGTTTGAACCTTCAAGATATGAGCTCAGTTGGGTGATAACTAACTAACTCTTGTTCAATATTCAGTTTTATTTAAAGGACACTCCAGGGAAGCAGCTGTTTTCTCCTCTAAGTATATGTTGTTTTAAGCCTGTTTATCTAACGGGGGCAGCTTGCTGTCCCCAGGGTTCAGGTAACACCCGAGGTCTACCCTCTCATCCAGATGCGGTCATGTCGGCCTTCAGATCACTATAGTGATTGCAAAAAATAGCTAATTTGGAAACCAGTGGCTATCGCCATCTTGTATGTATAGTCTATGCTTTAAGGTATTTAATAAAAGCTGAATTGTTTCCCCTACCTGTCACCAGGGGGCTCTGCGCTGGACTCTGCTCCATGAGCACCATGTGTTGGAGCAGGGGACTGTGTGCACCGTGCCCGCCTGTTCCTGCTCCAGCCTCGGCCAAGTAGGGGGTCAAGTGGCCACCGGAGAGGAATGGAGGGCTGAGGGAGAGGGCTGGCTGCAGGCCTCCATCCTGTTGGGCTGAGGTCACCTGGAAAAGAGCGTGCAAGCATATTTGAATAGATAGTTGGAGACAGTGCACTCTAAACAAAACAAATTCACAGTTAGAGAGATGCACAGTCTGCAAGCTGTTCAGTCAAGTTTCCTCCTTACATTAGAAGCAGCAGTGGCCGTGGCAGTGGCTGGCAGCCCCAGGGTGATGTTGGGTAAAGATGGGGAAGTGTAGAGGGACAGCTGGCTAACGGAGCCACGATCAGCACCGCTGCACAGCCTCTGGGCCAAAGATGCCTGGAAAACACATTTAAATGATTTATCTGTGTTTGCATCAAGGAAAAAAACCTCCTGCACACAGATAACAAAAAAAAACAAACAGCACACAGAAGAAATAGTCCACACACGGGGAAAGATCTACATGTGCACCCTCACTGCTGATGTAAAACTGTCACGGACAGAAGCCTCCTCCACACTGCCTGAGTGCCCCTAATGGCTGCCACAAATAGCATCTTGCCAGCTCCTCAGCCTGCCTCCTTGTCCACAGAACAATAATCCGAACATCCCTCAATCACAGCCTTCATCCGTACTCCAGGCTGCAATGTTTTAAAGCTAATAAGAGAACCTGCAGCACATCGCTGGCATAAAGGAGCCAGGCTACAATTTCAGAGATCAGACTTAATAAGTTTTATGCTAAAATTACAAGAACAACAACAGAAAGATAAATGGCATCTATAACTGCAAATGTATGCGTGTGCGTTACCTCCGTGTTGTTGGAGACTGACACAGTGATGCCGTTCTCATTAGGGATGTTGTTGGAGCTGTTATTTGGAGAGCTTGGGCCCGAGCCGGGTGCGCTGCTACATGCCGAGTCTGAAACGCGCGCAGACACACAAATCAAACACACAAGAAACCAGCAGCAGTGTGGAATAAAACTCTGAGCGAGCCGTTTGCTTGCCTCTTACCTGCCATGTCGAGCGAGCGTTTCTTGGCGCTGGTGATGGGACTGTCTCGGCGACGCAGCAGCGGACTGCTCCTACGCTCGCTTACCTTCTGCTTCAGCCGGGAGCGCAGCTTCAGGTTGGGCTCAGATGCTGAAAGAAGATTGAAAAGAGACCAAATTCTTTTTTTGAAATCCAATTTGAACTCTGTTATCGTAAGCGCATAAATACCTTAATGAAGAAAGCTTTGATAAGCTACTGAAATGAGAAAAAACCTTAAAATACAGTTTCTACATGTCACCAATTCATTTCAAATTAACATTTTCAAGAGGTTTTTGATTAATGCATTCGTGTTTATGACCTGTATGTACTGAAGTGTTTGACTGCTTCTTCTTCTCAGAAAGGTCATGCAAATCCAAAGCTACTTAGCTTAAACTTTAGCATGTCAATCGACTCTACAATCTTCTATGGTCACCTAAATAATGGATACGAGTGGAGACGAGTGACAGAAATAAGGTTTCTCTGAGAGGTGTCTGGCTACTCCCTTAGAGACAGGGTGAAGATTCGGTTATTTGACTTAAGCTGGGCAGACACTGTGCGATTTTTTTCAGTCACATTATTCAGCTCCTGCTCAAACTGTACGATTGAATCGCAGGGGTGAGAAGTTCATAGGTCACGATGCAGGTCTCACACTATACGGCCCGATGCTCTGATGCGACCTGAGTGCTCACACTGTGCGTCCATAACATGAAGGTTATAACACAAACTCTGTCTCTCGTTACCACGTGTATACTACACGATGCACGACACACGATTAAGGTGAAAAACACTCGCACAACTGAAAAATCATCTCAAAATGGGCCAAAAATCGCAGTGTATGCCGGCTTTAGTCAGCGTGGAGCCACTACTCCACATCGAAAGAAGGCAGATGAGATGTTTTTAATGACTTCTCTATATTTTATTGTCTGGAAACCAATGCATCAAATATTTAAAAAGCATCATGGCTGCTGTTTTGCACTTCCTGTCCAATACAATAAGTGCCAACTTTCTGCTCAAACTTCTTCGGGTTCGCTCAGTTCTTTAGCTAAGCACGATAATTAAACTAATCTTTCCATGTTCCCCCTGTGAACCCTTGACGTTCTCACAGCCCTGGTTGGAAAGCACTGCACCGCAGCACTAGCCTCCACTTCTGTCACCTCTGGTAAATGGGATATTTTGGTTTCTCGCCAACACCAGCTGAGGAGCAGCACCCCTGTCAAACCTCCTTGATGTTAAACAGATAACTGGCAGCAGTGCAGCTTTGGATGAATCAATCGGCAGGAAGTGAGAGTTACCTGAGCTACAGTCACGCAGACTTTCAGCTTAAACTGGGAGCTCTACACACTGATCAGCCGGGGGAGCACCTTCTACCGAGCGGCTCTGTTACGAAACCTGTTAGGTGGACAAACTGTTACATGCTGCTATTCATTTAGAGTACAATTTCCCCCGCCTACTGAGATGCTTTCGAACAAGCCACATTCTGATTTTCCCAAAGACATTGTGGCTAAAAAGCAATTAGCTCCAATTTGGGAGCCGTGTCTGACTGGCTAAAGGTCTTTTGGTCTTTTGTGTACGCTGTCACGGACTTGTGAATGGATACTGACAGAAGGGAACGGCATGTCACCTCATTAGCCTTCATGGCTCAGACCATGAAGGCTAATGCTCGGTTTATTTTACCCTGCCAATCAGCAGCCTTGGATAATTTTTCTATTTATTATCCAATTTTCAGTCATCAGAGGATAGATAAAATCAAAAACAGGGCACTTCTAACCTTTATTATGACATAACCAGTTTAACCGTCTACTATATCTCTTTTAAGACTGACAGGATAGGTAAAAGCACCCAGAAGCTACCATCACCGGAGCAACTGTTCCTTTTGGGAAACGATCACAGATGAACTTGTTCCCGTTTGCAGTGTCAAGTAAAAATAAATGTGTGGAGAAGACACAAGTGTGAAATATGAGGTGTGAAGGTACAGTAACACAAAGTGGGAAGGAGAGCTCAGTCCAGATGGAGTCAAACCAATTAACGTTGAGGGGAGGTGGTGTTCAAAGCCAATTTACTACAAATCCAATAAAAACTCTGTGACTCTGCTTTAGATTTTAGATCTAAATTAAGCAAACCCCCCCCAAAAAAGGTCTTTGTCATAACAAATACAATATTTGGTCAAAATGAAGGCTGTTGATTAAGGCTTTTGACTTTTTGAATGCTGCGAATGTTCCGGTGTATTTCATCACTTTTCACCAAGCACAACAAGAGATTCTGATATGTTCTGTTTTAATATTTGTTCTAGTAGTAAAACTACTGTATCTACTAGGG